TCGACGCTCACTCTGTCGTCGCTACTCTCGTCGTTCGCATCTTCCGTCGCCCTACCCTTCGCCCGCTCGCCCCAGTCTACGTCCGTACTGGAAAGCCCGATCAGATGAGAATTCTCCTCCTCCGCACCTCTTCTCGCCAGGATCACACCGACGATACTTAGCCTTCCCGGAGAACCCTTCGCAGAACCCGCTCATCTCTCGATCCGGGGGCACCTTTGTTGTTCTCTTGCCTCGGCATCGAGCGAATTCCCTCCCTTACGCTACTACCCCCATCCTCCCGCCACCGCTCTGATCGAACGCGATCACTCCCCAAAGCTTTCGCAATGTCTCCTCGACGGTCCTCCAGGGCGCGATCGGCCGCTAATCACGGCAATTCGCACGCATCGAACTCCTCGCACTCCTCCACGTCGTCCACCCGTCGGTCACGCAAGTCTCGTTACGGCGGTGACTCGCACGGCGTCACCACCCGAGCGGACTCGTACGACGAGGTCGACGAGCCGGTGGACGAGGACATGGAAGACAATTACTCCGGAAACGAGGAAGAAGAGGGCGAGACGCGATGCGTCTGCGGCTTCAAGGAGTACCAAGGTGGTTCCGACGACAGCCACACCGACCTCACCGACGGCCTCTTCATCCAGTGCGATCAGTGCCACGTTTGGCAGCACGGCTTGTGCGTCGGCATTCGAGATAAGGCGCTAGCTCCCGAGAACTACTTTTGCGAGCAGTGCAAGCCCGAGAATCACACTCTATACGAGAAGAAGGGAGGGTGAGTTGCTCCTGTCCATACCGATGCGTGGAATCCAGCCTCCTCTTACTGCCCACCCCTTGGACTTAGTATTCTAACGGAAGAAACCACCCACAGAAGAACATACTCTACCTACATTGGCTTCGGCCCCGAACGCGTCTCGCCCACGAAAGAACACCACACAAAGCGCCGGTCGACAATGAACTCCCGGGACGCCGCCTACGATGAGCAGATCTTGAACCAAGTCATCGAGCAGAGCAAGATCGATGACAAGAAGAGCACCGGTCCCCGAAGTAGGAAGCGGGGCACCAGCGAGACTTCGGACGAGTACGACGCCCTCTCAACCGGATCGATTCCCCTTACTTGAACACCCCTGGTTGATCCCCTAGATACTAACATTACCTCCTCCCTTCTAGACATCATTCAAAGCGACAGAGAACCTCGGATTCCCCTGAAAAGATCGAAACAAGCCATTCGAACGACGACGCTGCGGACAAGACAGCCTCCAGCAGTCGGAAAAGCCGCAACGGCCGAGCGGCTACTGCCTCCGCTACACCAGCCCAGCCACCGGCACAACCCAGCTCCAAAAGGTCATCAGGGCGGAGCAGAGGGGAGAGGGACAATCGCCGAGACGGTACCGACACACCCACCAAAGTCACACTGGTAACTCACGCTGACATCATCATAGAGTCAGAGCAATCAGAGGAGCCACCCAGGTCGACTAGGAACACGGCCGCGTCCACGTTGAAGCAAGAAGAGCCCATCCCTACCATCTCCACTCCCGCCCTTGAAACGCCGGACACGCCATCGATGAATAAACGCAGCTCCCGCCAGAGGCGACGGGGCAACACCCGGAACAACCGTACCTCTGAGGATCCCGGCGAGAACTCCTCGCACGCGATGGCCAGGGACGCCTCCGCCCAGGGCACGGACGCGAACGGCGTCCACGACCGCCCGGCGAAGCCGCGTCTGCCAAACTCCCGAACGACCATCCAAGAGATGCGTCGTCGCGTCACGGGCATCTCAGACTTTGTTGCAAAGACGCAATTGGAGATGGTCGCGCAGAAGCAGCGGAGCAGCGTCTTCAACGCGCTGGCTACCGCCACGTCGAGCAGCGGCCTGAACACGGAGGTGTTATTCTCCCTCCTGGATCAGAGCAAAACACCCAATTCCGCGAACTCCTCAACCTCCACACCCACCTCCGGCCTGGTCGACAAGGTCACCGTCGTTACGGACAGGCCCGAGGTCGAAAAGGCACTGCACAACCCTCTTGCGATGACCAGCACGGAACTCATGGACTTCCTTATGAAGAAGGTCAACCATTGGGAGCTGACGTACAACCGGCCGCCCGAGCGTGTGCACTGACCGCTCGAACATTCTCCATCGCCATGTCATCTCATCTCATCTCATCTCACCGGAGCTGGTGACGAAATCTCCCTTAATCTACTTGCCTAAATTTATTTTTCACGACCTTTCCTTTCCTTTACAATACCTTCGGTTACGAATCCACGACACTCCTTAGACCTTACCTGTTTATATATTTCACGAATTCTCTTTTTCCATCAACGTCGGTCCTTTGTCTGCGCAGCAGGCTATGTTTTATATGGGGTTCACCCGCTCTTTGGAAACTTCTTCGTCCATGGTGTATTGTCAGCATAGATACCAGGCGTTCTTACTGCTTACATGTCATTGATTGATTGATTTTGCAATGTTGGAATTTCCAGTTCACAGCATACTTGCTGCTCTGCGGCTTTTCTTCTTGTTGATTGTTTTTTACTTACCTAGGTACTCACCTTTTGGTTATTCTTCGACACCGCTCATTTTTGAAATTGGTGTGTATTGTCTGTTTTTCTGTTTTACGGCGTCTTTGTACTGGGGATATGGGCCGGCTACCTGATTTTTTTTCTGACCTCTCTTCGTTTCTTTCCCTGTATTTTACATGGTACGTTTGGTGCGATGGCGGTCCGATGCACACTGTGCTTCTGGACGGGTGATGGGTGGCAGATAGCTACTCAGTTGTATATGTGGCTGGTCGGATATGACCAAAAGTAATGTTTTTCAACCGATTCTTTCATTGTATCACTTCTTAAGTTAGCGGTGCGTTTTGAATCTTTCTTCGAAGCTTTCTTTGAAGGTTTTATTTTTATTGATGCGCTGCAGCGCTGGTGGGCGGTAGAGTGAGTTGACAGTTTGGAATTTGCTGCTATATAGCGGCTTTTGGACACCGGTTGGTGGTAGGCGGTAGGCTGTGGATGGTCGAAGGATGCTGTGAAAAGCGACTTGGGTGCGATGCATGCGTGCGTGCAGATAGTGATTACCTTGTATCTTTCTTGTATTCATGGAATGAATGGAATGATCGAATGAATGAATGAACGGATGATGCTATATCGATTTATATATCTCATATCAGCCGCGCGGGTTGTCGCACTGCATTATCGTTATGATACAAGATCGTTAAGTGTATCGAAGCTATTGTATGTAGTATACATTTATTTATCTAGGCATCCGGCAGGCGCAGGTACCGTAGACTGGGTGTATGTACGTACGTACATACGGCCGAGATATGGTTGGATGAATATATGTGACGGCGCGAGGTTAAATTACGTTACGTAAGACATTTATCGCTGCGTGCAGCTAATGAGCTGCCTGTCATGTCACACGTCACGTCATGTCATGGTAGCTCCTTCCTTATATGTATCATATACACATATCTATTACTCAGCCTCGGCTTTTTTACATTTATCTGTACTGGCGATTGTAGATGTATTCGGATCGGTGGGGTTAGAGGCTGTGGATACGGCTGTATCGGTATTGGCAGAGGTGAGTGGAGAGTGGAGGGCCATTTCGTCGCGAGCGGAGTCCCAGCGGTAGACGGGCCCGGTGTTGACGTTGTAGCGGTAGTAGTTTGCTGTGCAGGGGAGCATGCGGCCGTTGCGGAAGGTGATGTTTATGCGGCCGCCGGAGTGCCAGGTGCCTGTTGCTGTGGCGGTGCGTTTTGGTACTACCCTATGTCAACATGTACTATATACGTTTTGTGTATATAGACGTATCTACGGCGGTCGGTGAATATATTGGTATGGACGTACTGCTGTGTAGCCACTTTCGCTGAGTGGCGCCCTTCATGACGAGGAGCTCGCCGTTCGTCAGGGCCAGTTTGAGCGTCTGCGCTTTGTCCTCTTTGTGCTTCATGAGGAAGTCGCGGGTGGCGCCGAGGGAGAGGGAGGCGATGGTGGGGTTGGGTCCCAGGAAGGCCTCGTCGTCGGAATCTACATTCGCCCATTTATTAACCTGGCGCACTCAGGATAGATAAGTAATGATTTATGTTATGTGACATACGATAGGCGATGCTGTCGGAGGGGCTGGCGTAGTAATTCACCAGCACAAAGTTAAACGTCTCGCCGGTCTCGCGCTCGACTAGGTTCTTGAGCACTTCCAAACATCCTGGAATCGGACGTGGCGGACACACGCAGTTGCGGTACCGGTCGCCCGGTACGGCTTTATGCGTCTTACTGTCGAGAAGAGCGCGCGCATCGTGGCTGCTGTCGCCGCTGAAGTATGAGTTGGCGTCGACGCCAAATACGGTGGTGTAGCGGGGCGTGCGAACGGTTGTGTCTAGAGAGTCGCGCTTGATGGTGTATGTGACGCGGTAGAAGGGGAGGGAGGAGCGCAGGGAGAGGAAGAGCTGGCGGGCGGTTGGCGGTGGGAAGAAGTGGTAGTGGGTAATTGATAGGTCGGGTTTCGTGATGGTGTGCGGGGCGGGTGGTGGGGATGTGTCGAGGAGGGTGAGGAGGGACGTCGGGAGGGCGGCGATGGGGTGGGGGTATGAGGGGTGCGTGGTTGGTGGCGATGGCGGGGCGTCGGCGTCGGGGGGAGAGTCGAGACGGGGCTTCTTGGAAGCCGTGTCGGCGAGGCGACTGGCGAAGAAGGACGTGATTGTTCTTTTGGACATAGCTGATGGGGTAATATTCGGTATCGCGAGAGGTGATTGTGGTGTTTAGGGGGTGTCGATATAGCATACTATTTTATCACAACCGTTGACTCCATGGCTCCAGCTGATATTAAGTTCCTTACATTACGCACGTCCAACGTTATCGAAACTTACAGCGACATCGCGCATCGAGCGCGAGCCTGCTATCGATCGATCGATCGCGCCTGCCTGCATCCACCCCCGGCAAAATTTAAACCTTACGGCACTAAGCCCAAGGAGACCAAAAAAGTAAGCTCAGCGCAAAGAATGCAGCTGGCACGCAGGCGCAGGTCGTATTGGGAATTGAACCCAAGTCCCCAGAATTCTCGCTGCCAGCAGGCAGGTCAGAATCTGGTGTGCTGACCACTACACCATACAACCGAATGGAGACCTGGCAGACGCATCGACCGCCTCCGTGCGCTTTTGCACTTGTCATCGCGGGGCGTTTTTTCCATCCGTTGGATTTTCCGCGGGATGGGATGACGTCAATTGCAGGGGTCGTTCGCGGCCGCTTTTTAATTTGGTGGGCGAAAATTACAACGCGCCGTCGCACATCTTGTGTTGTATATCTGTATATGTGCTTCAAACGGGATATCGCTTGGTTATACTTCACGGTAGGCTACATACGGAGATATATATACCGACATCGGCTGGCAGATAACCGTAATAAGTTCATCTTATGTAGTGCTTATTTGAGAAGCCAGCCAAAGCAACATAAGGGTGTCGAACTGTCATTAGATCTTTGGTCAGGCGTGGATGCTGCAAGACATATAAATCTTCCCATAGAACTATCGATATAGAAATCATCGATATCTCGTCTCTGGTATTTAGTACAGATTATGATCATTCAGTTGACCAATCGATGGCGGCAGGAATACGCGCCATCAGCTGAATTACACGCGGGCTAGCCATGTGAGACTGGAATGACTGAATGCTTCGTCCAGTCTAGAACACTGGCATGCATGCCATCGGCGCGGAACTATGAACCAACCGTCTGCCGGCAAAACTTACTCTCTAGTCCCCGAGACCAATTACTTTCGCATTCCATAATGCGACAAAAAGGGTCTACGTTGATATACGTCCATACACACGAGCATGCTACGTGCATCCGCTGCGGCGTGCCGATTAAATACCGCCGTAGGAATGAACGCCACACGAAATGACGCAGCGACTCGCTGTGGCTGGCATTCCTTGCGTTCGGAGCAGCCTGCTTATCTAACATAACACTGCGCGTCGGAGTGGAAGATAGATACGGGTAGAAGATCGGCCTGCCGTCGCGTCAGCTAATTTAATTTCCGGCGTAACAATAATACGTACGTCGCGAGAACGTCAACATGGTTGAATGCGTCCAGATTTGACGTCCCAACAAATAATCTCGTTTAGCATATACATACAGGTGCATGTACGTACGTACGTCTGAATGCTTCGATCATACAGAGGAGGAAAGCGCTAGCGATGGGATATTGGATTCCTATAAGGGCTGACTGACTGCCTAGCGCTCGCTAGAGCTGTTATATTATTGTCTTCATCTCCACTCGCTAGAACTGACAAACACGCCATGCGGAGCCGGTGTCGCTTGAGTGGGCTGGCACGTGTCCAACCGTGGCCCGGGCTGGAACTCTCGCAGACGCATGTATGTAGGTATTGCAAGGCGTGGAGATTTAGGAGTTTCGTGCATGTGCAGATTCAACGCGCTACTTTTACGGGGCCTGTGTAACCACATACGCCAACACGGGCGCCGTGACGGCCGGCCGCTCCAACGTTACGGCTAGCTAGCGATTTTAAGTAGACAGATAACGTTGGCTGCCTGGCTGCTAGTCGCTGTTAACTGCAGCTGTTGCGGTGTCGGCGGCGTGCTTAGCTAAGCGGTAAGGGTTGACAACACTCGAACGAACTCGACGGAATGGATGCGAATGATCAGAGTCGATTAATCAGAATCCGGCCGACTGGCCGACGTCAACCAAGAAAATAGACGGGTGGCGCACGACAGCTGCCAAGCGTGGCATGGTACGGCTGCCAGCGTACCGGCCAGGTACTTCCGTGGCGGCCATGGCCGACGCTGTGACAGGACTGCGACGTCTACGCAGGTTCCCATGGCCAGCGATCATATCTGATCATGCCGTCGATGCATCCCTCGATCTTCGGAACTCGACCAGCCTCAGCTGAGGATTTCGAATCTCTCTTTCTACTCTCAGTTGCTGGGCAGGTTGCCTCGCTGATTACCAAGCCATCGGATCAAGAAAGTTTTGTTATCGGAGACAGAAGAGGAGAACCCCGGCGGGCTGTCCATCTCATCGGCTGGCTGGTGGTGGTTAACCCCTCACCTGTGGTGCTGCCGTGTGGGATGTTGTCTCAGGCGCCTAGTTGGATAGGTCTGGGAGTGCCATCGGCGCGAGGGTTTCCTCCGGCCTTCGCGCCGATAGGGGGGATTGCTAGCATGCATATGATGACATCGTTGCGGAGCATACTAGCATTCGAACCGAAGTGCTTGGTAGCATACAGGTATATCCGCAGTTACATAAGATGCCATCATATGAATCGAATTATCTCGGTCGGTCGCAAATTTTCTATTTTTTTGCGAGAGTCGCGGGTAACAGGAAGGTTGATTTGCTGACAGTTGGCCAACGGGATCGGAAGCAATACAGGGCCTCCCTTTACGCCCAATTTCCCACGTTGTATCGATCCATAATTTCCATTCCACTGGGCGGGAGACACAGGACCGTACACAAAGCCTGCCGTACATGCATTATACGGATGCTGCGAGAGGAGGCGCCCTCGCTTGGTCGATCGAGCCACTGGAGCCAACGATATGCGAAAGGTGAGAGCCACAGATCGGTAGCGGCGACGGCGCAAGTTTTAGGAAAGAATAAATATAGACGGTCCGGTCGAGGCGACACGAACGATTAATTTCGTATTTATAATGCTGCATTTCGGATCCGATGTTCTCAACCGCCGCGCTCCCGCCCAGCCAGCTGGCTCTGGATGTCACTTACGTTACGGACAAAGTTAACCGGTTGGTTTACTTTATTCCTCGCGCGATGGATCCGGTGCATATGCAGCGATCGCCCCGGTGTGAAATTGAAATTGCTGTCACACCCTTTTTCGTCAAACAGAAAATTGTTCCGTGCGTGGAAGCTGCCTTCCTGGCGTTGGCTTTTACTTTACAGCTTTCAGCTCCCCACTCGGTCCCCCGGCCAGCCGAGCGAACCACTGGGGGGAAAAAAAATTGGTGGTATGATATGATGTCGGAAAGTCGCGAGATGAACATATTTTCTGCCTCATCCATATCCCGTACGCTATAGACATGCATCCACCAGAGTAGCGGGTTATATCAATATATAGACTTATATACAGAGGAGATATCCATCCGAGGTGACATGATACGATATACCTGTACTTGTATGACAGATGGCAGCTGCGGAAAACTATTATTATCTCCACGGGGACTGTCTGCCTGCGTCTTCAACGGCAGCTCGGAGGCCCTAACTGTCCGGCCGGCCGGCCGTTGTTCGATTCAGGAGCGAGCCAGTTGTTCGAGTTCCTCATTCACCCGTAGCTCCAATCTGAGCCCGTTGGTTTTCTCTGACTGGCTGGGCCCGCTTGTTTCTCCCTCCCTTTTGACCAGTTGCCGGGGCTTGCTATTTTTCCTTTTTCCTCTTTCTTTCTCTTTCGCTTCCTTCGGTTCTTTCTGTTCTGCCTAAGAAGTTCGAAGCTCGGGATCCAGAAGAATTACCCCATTCTTCCAAACTCCAGAGGCCATGATTTCCGGTGCCCTTGCACGGGCTTCGAATTCTTTCTCTCAGGACTGGCTCCGCTTGGCCAGCTGGACCACCTGCGACCCGAGGATATCATATCTACTCGAGTAAAGAACAGCGCGGACCCGTATCCTACGTACTTTTTGGTACTATCTGAGGCTGTGGGAATTTCCCCCTTCACCTGTATCTATGATGTATGCTTTCGTCCGGAGTACATAAAGTATACATACGTGCATACATAGTACACAAATACCGTCCATACACTCGACTTATCTCGAGCATCATATCTCTGGCTGGACGTACGGAGCATATTCGACGTGCGCATGAGGACCGCACCGGCAGAATTGAAACTAGCACCTCCCACGCATGAGAAGTCACACTTGTCCGTGTGTGAAAACCGCCGGCATTCGCAGCAAAGCACAGTCGGCGTGCACCAGCTGCACTTCCCGCCATCGTGAATCCAGCTGGATCAGAATCTCCCAGTGTGCACTCCCAGTCCTAGTCCACTAGCAGTAGCTACAAGAAGTATAAGTATATGATATCTATCGCTGCAGGTGCTGGCAAGACAGGCAGACAGGCAGGCAAGGACGGTACGTATGTACGGACGGCCATCGGCGGGCACAAGCGTACTTTTTTTTTTTCTTCTCCCTTCCTCCAGGAAATTATATACTGGTGGTAGCCGTATTTTATTTTTCTGCTTAGCCGGCCTGCTTTTTCTCTCATCCCCCAATTTTTTCCCTGCTGGACGCACACCACACAAAAAAAACCGAAACGACCGAAATTTTCTTCTTGCCTCCTCCAACCACAACTCCGGCTTTTTCTCCTCTCCCTCACTCCCATCCGCTCCCACCAACCTCATCGTGAGGACTTCACCGCCTCGACTTTTTTTATTTTAAAAAAATAAAAAATAAAATAAAACTTTCCTAAACCCGCCGCTTCTTCCCCATCGTTTCCCTCGGGTCCCTTCAGCGTGCCCGCCCCGACCAGCGGTTATAATCCTTTCTTGATTGCTAAGGGTTATACATACACCTCTCCCCGTTTGACCGTCTCCGCTTCTCCTTTTTACCTCCCCTCTGACTCTCCCGCCAGCAACCCAGCTCTTCCTGTCAGCTTGAAGTCTCTGCTCCTCGTGGCTTCAATCACAGATAGCTCGCCGATCCATCATGTCGTATTACGAGCCCGTTGCTGCGCCGGCCGGTGGCGCTTGGCCGAACCCTCGGCCGGGCTGGGACCCTCGCAGCAGCAGCAGCAGTAACAGCAACAGCAACAGCAGCAGCAGCAATAACGGGGCTGCCGTGCCCTTCCAGCGCCAGTTCCCGCCGGAGGGCTCCGACGTCGGCTCGCGACCCTCGTCCGCTCGTCTGAAAAACGAGGAACCCACGGCCTTCGGATCTCAGCTCGATGGTGAGTGTTCTTTTTCGGGGGGGAAGGCGGCGACGTTGCCTTCTCTCTCCCCTATAATTCGTTTTTCGCCCCGTCGGTTCTCCCGTGGAGATTGCCGTTACGTAACCGACGTCAACCTGCCCCTTCGTACAACCAAGCGAGCTGTGCTGACCCCTTGGATCGTGTGAACAGAGGTGGACCGCGCCGTCGATAACCTCGTCAAGAGCGGAAAGATGTTTGCCG